GCCTCAAGGGCTCTTTACTAGACATGAGCACAGGGGACTTAAGGATTTTTCTCTGCATTTATTTGTACTAAATGGATATCTCCCAGTGCTGGGTTCCTTAAGTGCTCACAGAGCACTTCTCCATTGCCCACACACAGGCACTTGCTTACAACCTGTCCCCCATACAGGTCTATGGGACAATGCGTTTATTGTATTTCAAGTGGAGCAGCACAGTGCATTTATTTTGTTCTGATGTCTGGTATGACCCTTCACAGACCTTTATTCAACCAGATGGGCATTTCAGGTTGTCTGCTTGTAGACATCTGTGCTGGGGCATATCCATGTCTAGAGTTCTTGTGCCACAGCACACACTTTGTTTTGCTGTAATCCTTTTTAAAAAAATTAGGTAAAACCCAAGAAGTGTTTCTTACATATACAGAAATCAAGGTATGGTTTTAACTTACAGATATCAGGTTTTGAAAATAAAATATTTTTAGAACTTTTTTTCTAATATGACTGTCATATTGTAAAATTCTTTTGTTTAAAATGAGTATTTTTAGTGTAGCAAGATTTTGATGTTTAGGGCTTTATATTTGAGTCTTTGAAATAGGGAACAATAGTACATTTGGCATGTATATAGGAAGAGTGAGGAAAAACAGCATAGAGTATTGCTGAATTGTTTGAGAACATTCATCCTTAAATTTTTTGATCCATGGAACTGATTTTTCCGTTACCAGATAGTGGTTTGTGTTTGGATGCTGTTCAGTTCGTTTGCAGCACTTCTGAACTGGGAGAGTGAGCAGAAAAAATTCAGAACATCTGAATTTCCAAACTTCAAGTAAATTCTGTGGAGAGGCGCTTTGGTCCTCAAGTAGTTCTTTACTCAGCACATATAGAATATTTCTAGATATTCAGATAAATGAAAATCCACCTTTAGAAATTCAGTAATGATTTGAATTGTGAGAAATCCAGTCCTTACCCCTTCTTGCTGTCATATAACACGATCTGACTTCCCTCTGCTAATGTCATCAGTTTGTTTCTATCCATGCCCCTTTTTTCAGGCTTTCATCTCTTTCTCTGTATTACACCATCAGGTTTTGGCAAATTCTAACTTCAGATTTCCTTTCAACTTCTAATTTTACTTCCCACATCTTTTTTCCCCAATTTTTTAGTTACAAAAGCAGAATTTTATACATTGGTTTTTTTTATGTGAAAAGTGTACTTTATGAGCTGTTTCAAACTAATGTAAATTAAACTTTTTGAGGCACTTGTTAAGTGAGTCTTCTTATTGGCTTTTTTTTTTTTTTTTTGGGATCTACTGGCTTTGTGGAGTTGACTTTTTGAAAGTGTTAGGTTCATATATTACTGGTTTGCTTTTTACTGTGTGTGCAAATAGCACTTAATCAATTCAGTGGTATTAGCAACCATTACTATTTAGTCTGTATTAATTTTTTTTACTTATTGAAGTCCAGCCCTGAGTTAAATTAAAAACTGCTGTGTGAAAGGAGGTAAGAAATCAATGTTGTTTTTAATTCCTTAAAAACAAACAACCACAGGACCTTGAGATTGTTGTTCAGCCTTTAGTCTTCCTTGCTGGCTGAGCTCATCGCTGGTGCGATTTGATGATCTGTAACAGATCACATTATCCCAGAATGGTGTGGGTTGCAAAGACCTTAAAGATCACACTGTTTGTGGTCAGGGGCACCTTCCACTGGACCAGGCTGCCCCAATCCCTGTCCAGCCAGGCCTTGGACGCTGCCGGGGACCTGGAGACTCCCAGCTGCGCACAGCTTCTCTGGGCACCCCGTGTCAGGGACTCACCACCCTCACAGCCAGGAATTTCTCCTGATAATGCCAGCTGATGACTCCTAATCTTCCTAACAGATGCCGGCTGCCAGATGTCATCTTGCTCTTATTTCACCGTGCTGTTTTGCTCGCTGTACATTGGCCTGGATGTACTTCTGTGAGGGAGAGATGAGTTGAGATGAGGGGTACCAAGATGATTTCATTGTTCTGGACATAGCTCTTTATTTTTATGAAAAGTCCATAATGGGTGAGATTGATGGGCTGTCAAGCTCCATAGCCTGCCTGACAGTTGATGGAGAAGAGTGGATGAACAAGGACAAATTTCCAGTAGAAAAATCCATATTCTTTTCAGCCTCTGCACGCTGCCCTCGGTGACCACATAGTACATGTATTTTTCTGTTTGATCTCAACTTGGCTTTTAGTTAGGCAAAAATAGATGTGTGATGAAGACACATGAGGGAAATTTGGGAGACAGTCGCAGCTTCCACTTCTGGACCTTGTACCGTGTTGTGAAGAGTGGAACAACCTTGTTGTAAAGGATTTTTCCTTTTTTTGAATTGCATTATTCATGCCTTGAAAATCAAAATCAAGTCTAAAACCTTACATACACTGGAGACATGGCTGCTGCAAAATCAAGCAACTCTTTTAGAACGCAGCATTTGTTGGTGATGAAAGGTATTTATGAGCTAAACTTCATACAAATGCCTTTTGAGAGTTGTAACTAACTCTGTGCTGACACTTTAAAAATTAGTCTATTTATGAAGGTGGTTTACAGAGATAGAGATAGAGGCATAATAATAAGTGAATGACTTGGAATTGAAGTTTTGTACCAGTTAGGGGGCAACAGTATTTCCTAGGAAGCTCCAAATCCATGTGTTAATCACAATATCTGGTCTTGATTTTTTTTTTTCCCCCTTGTTTAGCTGCAGTGGTTTTGTGGAATTGTTTGAGTTTGCAGTTCTGTGCATTTTCATTATGAAAAATCTAGTATGAAAAATCCTGCCATGTATCCCTGCCCTTGTGCTTACCTAAAGGATGGCTCTTGGAGAACGATTACCAATGGATAAAGGAGACAATTGTGTTGAGTTTTTCTGATCTGGATGTCTGTGTTATGGGCAGTGGTCCCTACAAAGAATTGTCCCAGCATGGTGTGAAGGACACGAGTTTGTGGTTGGAAAGCAGAACTTTGCAAGGGGAAAGACAACAAAAGCCTCTTCACTGCTGCTTTGTAACTAGAAATCAGCCACCTAGATCTTGCTCATGCCATAAAGTCTACTTATAGTACACTTAATTATTTAAAAAAACGCTTAAGGAATATATAAATAAATAATTTGTCCATTATTTTCCTTTCTGCTTTTCCCCAATTCTCTACATTTCTAGTGGAAAAAATAAATTTACTTTTTTGCTATTCTGATTCCATGCAGAGTACCACTGTATGTTCATTTTCCTCTGCACATGCACTGAACACATGCACTTACCAAAATCTTGATCCCTCTTCCTTGTTTATATTTAAATTTCCTTTAAAGCCAAAATGCTTTATGTATTTTGGAGAAGAATCTACTAGTTGGAAATCTGCTTTATTCCAAATTATTCATCTTTGTGAAATTATCTCTATCTTCTGGTGTAGACACCATATTTAACTTGATGTTGCTGCATCCCACCATAAGCATTTCCAGCTTGGTTTTAACTGATTATTTTGTCTCCACAGCACTAGAGGGTGCTGATGACAGTATCTCTGAAATCTGAGTCTTCAAGGATACACATGGTTGCAGAAGTAGTGCTTCTGTTTCCTACCAAGGACCAGTTTGCAGATCCAGTTATTGATCTGAACAAAAGTTTCAGTCTGTGGATGCAATAACAGAATTTGTGAGGGGGAAAAGGAAAGCTACTAATGTGTCTTAATTTCTGTGTTGCTTCTTTCCCTTTGAACATGGAATGTTCTAATGGTATTGACTAATAGCTGTGAGGTAGTGTAACTAATTCCTGGTGGCTGTGAGGAGTGTTGGAAAAGCCTTTTCCTGAGGCTCTTGGCTAGCAATGGGGTGACAAGAGCGGGTGACAAGCCGGCCATTCCACCCTCTAAAACACACATAGTCATCCCAGGAAAACCTGATAGGAGTCCTGTAATGTTCCAAAAAGAAGTAAAGAGGTCCAAATGATGTTTTTAAACACAGAAAGCCTAAAAACTTCTGACACCTAACAAGAGCAAATGGCCTCAGGTTGCGCCAGAATAGGTTTAGAATGGATGTTAGGGAAAAATTCTCCATGGAAGGGATTGTTCTTTTACAGGCTGCCCAGAGCCCTGGTGGAGTCCCCATCCCTGGAGGGATTTAAAAGCCACTCTGTAAAAGTGGATGTGGCACTTGGGGACATGGGTCAGTGGTAGCCTTGGAAGTGCTGGGGAAATGGTTTGACTCGATGGTCTTAGAAGCTCTTCCAATAAGGGGCTGGGTTAATCTGTTAATTGATAGCCATGTTTGAGCTATCTAGGGCTTTAGAGGAGTGTCTGACTCTTTGCTACTGCTGAGCATTAGCTGGTGGTCTTTGCCAGTGCTGCTACTTCCACCATTCTCCTTGTAAATCAGGTTACACCATCCTCTGTGAGTGTCATTGCCCTGCTTTTTTCCAGAATGCAAGAAAAATATGTTTATTTCTCTGTATGTGTGTGGACCTCTGATTTAACAGATTATAGAGCTAAGGTAATCCCTTTTTTGTTGACTTAGGCTAAAATAAATTAGAAAATTATATGTACTAGTAAAATGCAATAGCTTGTCCTGGAAATACACAAAGCTTTTGTCATATACTCAGATTTCTCCTGTCTAAGAAATAGGTTATTAAAATGGATAGTATATGAGATAGTTAAGTATATATTACAATGTATTGCATGAGGTGCGGCACTTAAAAATTGCGTTCTAGTGAACACAAACTATTTATGAACTAAAATTGCATGTATTCCATTCCTTCTATGACAGTTTGACTTTTAAGAATTTAGTAACTAACAGAAAATGTTCTTCAGAGCATATATTGTATAGAATGTTTCTGATACAAACTCTGCTGTTGCTTACCCAGATGTTAAATAGACAAATAAATAATACAACTATTGTGCATTGCATTCTAAAAATTTTGTGTATGTAATAAGACTTCTTTCTATTCTGAACAGTCTCAACTATTTCAGGACACTCTCACGAAGGTATTTTAATTTCTTTTTCCCCCAGTTTATTTTCTCTGTTGTCTAAAAAACACAACAAAGTGCTGGAGCAAGCCACGCAGTCCTTGAGAGGTTCCCTGGGTTCAAACGACTCTCCACTTCCTGATTATGTGAGTATCAAAATGAATGTTGTAATGGGTGCTTCGAAATTCAAGTCATACATCCCTAAATCTGCAAAGAATTCTCAGAGTGTGGCAGCTGAGCAACCACCAACATCAAAATACAGGAACCTGTATGAATGATGTCATGTCTGAAACATCTCTGAGAAACAAGAATTACACTTAGAAATGGCAGAACAAAACCACAGCTATGCAGAGGGAAGAGACTTACTGTCAACTCATGCTTTTCAAGCCATTTGTAATTCAGAATATTTAAATCACACCATTGAAAACGGCATTTTTAAAAAGTGGGCTTTAGCATCCACAGAATCCTAAAATGCCTAAAGATGATTGAAAACAATTCCCAGTGAGCCTCTGAGAGAGTACTGGAGTCATGGGGTAAATTAGTATGTTCTGAATACATGGATACTTACAGTTCCCTTCAGTTTGCTGAGCCAATGCCCGCAAGTAGGCAACAATTTTGTATTTAATTTTGTTGGGAAATCTCTGCTTTGGGTGGAAGAAGGAGACATCTTGAGAGGACTTGAATAATATCTTTGTGCTGCTGAAGTATCTTTGGTCTGTACTCATTTGAACCCTCACTGCAGTGCTGTGTGCAGGAAAGAAAAGTTGATTTATCATTTGCTTGGGATTTTTGAGGATGAAAATGTATCAACTGTTTTATTTTCAGAGCTAATACATGATCCAGAATATTCCTGCCTGAGACTTTGCATATTCTATTACTCTAGCATTAAATATAAAGATACCTAAAAAGATAATTTTGTACAATAGTTTAATGAGTTAAATAAGGAAACAGCATGACACACATCTGCAAAACACACAGGCACACATAGGAATGGGATAACATACATTGAAGGTCTATATTTCAGGGTGTGTAAGAATATAATGCTTGAAAAATACAGGTTTTGAACTTTTTGACTTGCTGGATGTAAACAATACTGCAGTTAAGGAAAGGCCCGGGGAAAGGCTTTCTGTATGAAGTTGTCTCCTTGTGTACAGAGACAGCTGAGCAATGCAGCTGACAGTGCTGGGAAAGCTCCCTGGAGTACAGCCACGAGGCTTAGAGACTCCACTGATATTTTTTTCTTTTTACTGTTGGTATGATGTAGGGATGGGAGGGGGAAAGAGAGCACTTGGGAAGATTGGTGTAGGGGAAGAGTAAATTAAGTTCATGGCCTGTATTTTGAAACAATAAGGAAAACTGTTAAGGCATGGCTTTCTGGTCCTTTCTTTTTCCTCTCCAAATTGTTCAGCTCAGTTGGAAACATAGGCAGTTGACTAAAAAAAGTTGAGGCCAGATTTCATCACTTCAGCATATTCTGCTTCTGAAAGCCTGTGTTTATGTTATGTGTAAGAAGAAGGAGGAGTGTAGGAGTGGAGGGGACTGAAATGTCAGAAGTCCTGAAGCACATTCTACCTCTGTACCCCACTGTGGAGCTAAGGAAAAGGGTGATTCCAATATTGCCTGCTGCTCTGCACAGGTTTGTTCGTTGGGAGGTGGAAGTTTGCCTAATAAACAGTTGTCTTGGCAGGTTCTGTTCAGACCAAATATATATTTTAAAAATGCCTTTCTCACTATTTTTTCACTCATTTTCTTACTGTGCTCTGTAATCCAGATGGGAATTTGCGTGGAACCCAAATCCAAGGGTTAATACACATAAAAGTATTCTAGGTGCTGTTTAAGATATTGTCTTAAATTCTGTGTGTTTGAACTGTAGTACTCTATATTCTAGTAAGTTGTTGACCCAATACACAGTTCCTTAGCTTATACTCACTGATGGGGGTAGGAGTATACTGAATTCTACCTTTACCACATTTATTAATGTTCTTTTTGTGAGTTAGCAGTCTGCCATCAGGTTGTGGTGTAACAGCAGAGCTGGGAACTGGAGTAAGGAACTGACCCCATTGGCCTTGATACTGTTCTTGCTGGGGTTTTTCTGGTGTTTAAAAAAGAAAAGAGCAAGTTGTTGCATTTATTGAGGCTGGACCAGTGTCCCCATCCTTTCCTGGTAAACTTGTCAGTGTGCTGGATTCAGGAGCAGGATGGAGAAGGCAGCAGGACAGAAATAACCAGCTCCTGTCATTATTGCCTCAAAAACACTATCCTTTGTTAGACTAATTCTACGCTAAGTAATTTACTTGTTTCATAAGCCATAATATTATTCATTGTTTTTGTAGCAGCATTGACCTGTTTTGAAATATTACATATGATCCAATTGGAAATGGGAAGAGTCCACTTAAGTTTATTTTTCTTACTTTTTTGCAGTCAATGGTAGCATGTTTTCCGAAGTGTTTAGCAAACAAGAAAACTGGTAATAAAATAATTGAGAATTTTGCTTCTTATAGTTCAAATCAAGACATATTACTTAAGTAAACATATCAACGATTTTCTTGGTAATTTGATTACAGCCTAATGTAATTTATCAAGTCAGAGGTACTTAACAGCATGGTTAGAGACATGCTAACGTCTCTTGGGAAGCAGCATGTCAGATGTGTTGTTGGTGCTACCATCTACACCAAACATTTCTTTTCAAGGATTTCATAGTATTCTTTATGATTTTTGAGTGCTTCCCCTGCTTGTTAAACTACAGCTGGTAACGAGAGATTCTCCTTAACTCTTTCTATGAAGAAGAACAGAGTAAAGTTTCATTTTTGGCAAGTTCATGTCATTTTCTTGCTGATGCTCATCATCTTGATGAGGATGAGAAAAAACCAGTTTCCTTAATGCAAAAAATTGGGGAAATTAAAAATCAAATGTAGGTATAGTATTAGATTGAAGTAGTTTGGCAGACATCATCACTTGAGTCTTACCTTCTGAATTTTGGGTTTAAAAAAAAAAATTGTTCTAGTCAGATGAAGGTTAAATGTGTTAGGAAAAATTCTAAAAATAAACCAAATTACTGGCAATATATTCAATTATTTAGTACATAGCATTGTCATTTAAACAGCACGTCAGTGGTGGATGAAATTTGGGATAGAAGTCTTGTAATGTAATATCAAACTTCATATTAATAGATACGTTAATCAATATATGGAGAGCCATCCTTTAATCCTCTGTCCAAAATCTGTTGGGTTTTGGGTTATGTAGCATAGAAATAAAAGCATGTTGGCAACTCAAAGGGAAAAATGTAAAAAATACAAATGTAGTGAGCTTTGTGTGTGCATGTATATGTATAAAAATATATGTTTTAATGTGTAGTTATATATATAAAGTCTGCAGTAGCAAAGCCTGGTGGTACTGGAGAGTTCCCAATCAGAGCTGACTTTTCATGACTCCTTCCCAATCCAGTAAATTTACCCACTGTGCAAAGCTGGCTTTCATGGAGGGCTGGAATTCTGCAAATGTTGATGAGTTTTTCTCTCATCTTGATAACTAGAATTAAACTTTGCATCTGGATGATGAGATTTCTGTATTATTTTCTTTTCCCCCTCAGTTTGTGCTCCATAATGGGCTAAATGAATTCCAATATTTAGATTCTTCTTTGATTTTTCCCTGATTTATATGGTAAATAGAAAGCAGCTGTCTGTTTAACCATCTAACTCTTGAAACTCCTAGGCCCCTCGAGCGTCATCTGGAAGTAATGTAGCTTGTAAAACAAAGCTAAGAAGAAAAAGCAATGTTTGTTTTATGTGGGATGAACGACTTCAGTTGGGGTCCCTCTAATTCGGCCATTATGGGGGTTATTAAAAAGCAGTATTACAAAAGTGGTTTCAACAAAAAAGAAATTTTGGGGGGGGTGGGAGCTTATATCTTGTTATTACATTTGATTCTATTCAAACCTCCAAGTACTTCATAAATAGTCCTTCGTTTGAGTTTCCCCAAGAGAGAACCAGCCCAGTCTCCCCCCTGTACATCAATAGATGTGAAAGGTTCCCTTGCGTCATTTACTTCCTGAGAAGAAATTGTCTGTTATAATTAAAAGCTCCATATTTATCTTAGAAACTTGAAATTGCTAAAGAGTAGGTAAAATCAGGTCCATGAACTGCAGTATTTGTTGTCTTTTAAACACAATGGAACATACTTAAAATTTATTAATGTTCTAGATTCAGTTACATGCAGAGAAGTTAATTTTTATGTATGTATGTGGCAAACAAGTATTTTATTCACTAATGATATGAACAATTTGACCTTTAAATACATGTTGTGATGTTTTGGGGGTTTGAAGGAGATGATCTGTAAGCATTTCCAGCCCAAATCATTCTAGGATTACATGATTCTATGAATCATAGAGCCATTTGGAGTGGAAAAGACCTCTAAGTTCATCAGCTCCTATAATATATTCGGTGCTTGCATATCTAATATTACATTAGGTATCCTGCAGCTCGATCTGATTTTTTAAATTATCTAAAGAGCAGTTTAATGCAGAGCTCTGCCATCACATAGAAGTGTTCTCCTATAAACGTGTGCTGTCATGAAGAAATGGGAAGTCTTCTCTGCAATCATCTGATGACTCCAGAAATGATGCAGAAATGAAATTAAACCTACTCCAAATAAACTGGTCGGCCATAATAGAGTTAGTGTGATGCAATTAATGTTGTTCAGCTGGTAGTCTGTAAAGTACTGTTTGGTGGTGACTTCTAAGAACTCACAAAATATGTAGAACTGAATACGCTGTTGGCAGAAGGGGAAACTTTTGCCAAATTAAATCAAGACTGCTGACTGAGATATGTCCATATTTGTCAAATACTGGAGTAAGGAAAAAAATAATGTAGTTTTGTTTTGTTTTTTCATAATGTTTCTTTAAAATTCAGAAACCACCTACTTACCACCCAAAGCACTGCCTAGGTCTCTTCAGTGGATTTTTTTTGTCTCTATTTTCTTCCATTTCAAAATGTCATCGAGAAACCCAGTAAGATTTTTTTTTTTAATGCCTTAGCCATACATCATTAATGGTCTAAAAAACTTCATTTTTGTGTGTGAATTTTTAGTTTCTCATGTTGTCCAGAGGAATAAACTTAAAATGTGATTATACGAGAGAATTTTTATTAGGGTGTTGTTTAATGAAAGCATATGGTAAAGCAATATAGTACTGGGTTGGTTTTGTATAGTATGTGGATTCTAGCTGTTCAAGTTGCACTTAAAAGGAGAGTCACCTTATTTTGCAGTATAATACCTTCTTTTTGATTACTCTGACTTGATGGCTGATGAAGTAACATTTTCAGTACCAGGTTATTCTTGGGTTTGCCTGTCTCCAGTATTGAGTATTTTTAGAAAAAATACTTTTTCTAAATATTAGTCATACCCTCCTCCAGATGAATTATATTTTATAGAATATTACTCCTACCTAATCCCCCTATTTTTATATCACCAAAAAATAGCTATTTTAGAATAGACTGAAATAACCAACCTAACCCAAATCAAAGCAAGCTTTTCTATTGAGTAATAGCTGAATTCTGCAGTTCTGTCTGAATTCTTAATCAGTTCTTTCCTTTAAATGAACTGAAACTTTCATAAGAAAATGCATAAATGATCCTTAAACAGAAGAACTATCCTAAAACCCCGTGAAAAAAGATGTTGGTAAAGTTCAATCTGTTTAAACTTCTGTATATTACTATGAAGTACTAATAGTTATTTGCAGCTGGCTTTTGCATTACTGTGTCTTTACAAATACATTGCTTGTGAGTGAAAGATTTTACAAATACATTGCTTGTGAGTGAAAGATTTTTAGACAAACACATTGAAGAACATCAAGATGATGTTCTTCAAAAGGGTGTTGGTCTTTCATTACCCAGGACTTCCACAAAAGCATCATTGGGTCTGGTGTTTGTGTTATATAGATGGTGTTAAGCCTTATTTCACTTAGAAATTCTCATTATTTTGGCAAGTAGGGATGAAAATTCATTTGATTTGAAAGAACATTTACTGTGACAATAGCACGTTATGATCATCTGGTTGAAAATCTTTCATTCTTCAGGTTTATGAGAAAGGAGAACAAATAAGTAAAAGAACTTCTGACATTAGCAGTGCAAACACCTGCTAAAGTAATTTCAAAACCCCTTGTTTTGTTTGTTAGAAACATTTGAAGTAAACCAAACATGAACATCATAATTTTTTACTTTTTCTTCTTTAGTAGTTCTAGAGCTTTAGGACATTGTCATTATTTTGCAGTAAAGGATATAAATTATGACATTTGTTCAAATTCTGTACTCAAAACCCATGTTTTTTGAGAAGACTGCTTAAATGAGTGTCCTTGAAAGAGAAGATGATTAAACTTAAAGAAGATTAAAGAAGTTGTAAAAGCTTGTCTTATAAAAGAATGAGATCTTGGGGTTCCTTTCCACCTCCATAAGTTAAACAGGAGAACATTGTGTGCTGATTTTTCTCTTGCACAGCTAATTGGGTTGCTTTTGAGAGAGCTGGAAGCCTGGGAACGCTGCTATTTTAGAAGGGTCTTAGATGTAGCTGTAGATAGAAAATGTGATACATTATTAAGACAAAGCCCTCGTAAGCCTCTCTATAAAACTGTTTATTACTGCCATGTAAACCAACATTTGTTTTATTCACACTAATGGCAAGTATTGAAGTGTTTGGATGGAAAAAGGAGCAGTACTGATCCCCAAAGCACCCTTCTTTGCTGATTTGGTCATTAGATGCTTTTCCTGCTGCCTCTTTCACATGAGTGGGTTGTTCAGGGTTTCTCAGAAACCAATTATTCACCTGGATGGTTCATCTTGGTCAGACGTGCACGGACAAACAGAACAACCTAATGCAGTAGCTCTCCAAAGAGTAGGATTTATTTTTATAACAGCAATCTATTTCAACAATGCATTAAAACAATTTTCTGGTGTTCCTAACGCACAGTTTTGATTGAAAAATGTAGTGCTTAAAAACCATAAGTATGTGACCATATGTTATAAACATCCCAGTAATTGTTTTTTTAAACATGCAGCCATATAAAGTAGAGGAAATGGATGAGGAAGAAAATATGTACCAAACCTTTTAGGCTGTTTGGTACTAAATATCTAATTGGAATTGGAATTTCTGTGCGCTGCTTTTTCTCTAGGAGATATTGGCGGAACATATTGTACCTTCCATTTCCAATTTGTCCTCTTCCTATTTTACAGGGACATTTACAGACTAACCAGTGAGATTTTTGTATGTTTTCAGTTGTTGTTTAAAATAAAAGCCATCCATTTCTATCAAAGGGTACTAAGAAGTTATTAAAAAAGTAAGCAAACATAGATCTTTAGACTCCTTCATTGCAGATATCTGTGATTTGGCACTGGGAAGACAAAGAAAATAATAGAAATTAGGGTGAATCGAGACCCAGTGATTTTGAGAAGCATGCACTAAGAGAAAGATGGTGTGCTTCACATTGGATAAAATAGTGGAAGAAGTTACTCACCTGTGGAGATGCTGCTCAAATCTGTCTGAACTGAAACATCCACACCTCAAATGCTGTGTCCAGTTCTGGGCCCCTCAGGACAGCAAGGACATGGAGCGTGTTCAGGGCAGGGAACGGGGCTGGGAAGGGGCTGGAGCCCCAGGAGAGGCTGAGGGAGCTGGGAAGGGGCTGAGCCTGGAGAAAAGGAGGCTCAGGGGGGACCTTGTGGCTCTGCACAGCTCCTGACAGGAGGGGACAGCCGGGGGGGTCGGGCTGTGCTCCCAGGGAACAGGGACAGGAGGAGAGGGAACGGCCTCAGGTGAAGTTGAGGGTGGATATTGGGAAAATTCCTTCATGGAAAGAGTTGTCCAGCCCTGGCACAGCTGCCCAGGGCAGTGGTGGAGTCCCCATTCTTGGAGAGATTTAAAAGCCGTGTGGATGTGGCACTTGGGGACAGGGGTCGATGGTGGACTTGGCAGTGCTGGGGGAATGGTTGGACTCCATCTTGGAGGGCTTCTCCAGCCTAAACAGTTCTATAATTCTATAAAATGTTGAAACAGGGCCATTTTCTAGCTCTGAAGAGTTACAAGTTGTGTCCATGTTACTGAAGGAAGTTAATATCATCAGTTTACAATTTATCTTCTTGGAGTGGTCTGGTGCTCCTGGAGCAGCATTTCACAGTGTCATGCTGAGGGCAATTCTCCCACTGGTGGCTGTTGTTAATATTACCTGTAATGTTACACAACTGCTGCTGATTGGCAGTGTGGGTGGCCAGGAGACTGAATGATGGAATGAAGGCAAGGAGAGTATTTTAAAGGGAGTGAGTCAACCATATTAAAAGACAGTCTTGGTATGAAGTGAATAAGAAAAAGGTTTGGGTAAGAAAAATTATTAATATAGACAAATAAAAAACCAAATGTGAATTTTGAAAAAGGGTAGGCTTCTCTCTGCTGTTCGTATGAACTATCAGATTATCAGCAAAATAAGCCACTTACTGAAAACTGATTTCCTCATCACCTGGCCTGAAAACAGCATTAAAGAAATGTAAAAGGGAGAATTTACATTTTGTTTATCACCATTGACAGGAGTGGATTCTTGTTCTCTGTGAAATACCTTCCTGAAAAACCTCTCAGAAAATTTAGAGAATGTGTTTAGAAAAAACAGAAATTTATAAGAGTCTGTGACTCATTTTTATTGAATTGTATAAAAACCCTAATGTTTTTCACAGGTGTAATTTAAAAGATAAACTTTTAATTCTCTTTCATGTAATCAGCTATTTCTCCTAATTTTCTCATTTCTTTGTTGATTAGGAACTAAGTGAGTTAATGGAATACATTGCATATTTCATATGCTAAGTCAGCTTTTATAAATAGGAATTCTTCCACAGAATTGGTTAATTATAGAAACAATAACCCAGAGTTTGGGCAAAAAGTCTGAGTTAGAGAACTAGGGGTATTCGGCCTGGGGAAGAGAAGGCTCTGGGGAGACAAGACTCTAATACATTGCCATTGTTTAATCCTCCTGTATTTGTTATCCCCAGCACTTTTGGGAGATGTCTGATTGCCTTCACTTCCCTGAAACAAAGTTGAGACACGTAAGATACCTTTTTTTTTTTTTTTTTTAATTCCCCATTTGCTCTTCAGATATGTTACTGGAATGTGGTGGAGCTCTTCCAGAGCTGCTCTTGTTCATATTCAGGCTGGATCCCAAGCTGGGTCCACTACTGAACAACATATTCTCCAAAGACACTGTGTTCCAATGCATTTTTGTGTTGCTATCAAGCTGGCACGGTGTGTACAGAGCCTGTTCCACTCCAGCATTTGTGTGTGTGTTAACCCAAATCCTTGACCTCAAAGATAATGTTGGCTAATAACAAAAAACAGCTGTCCTGTTCTAGAGAAAATAAGATGTATTGTAACATTGCAGGTTCAGTTTGCTTTATTCACTGCAATAGGACTCATTATCTGAAGTATATCTGTTCTCCCGAGATAAACTGAGGAGAAAATGGATGTTGCAGTTCCCAAAGGCAGGTCTTTCATCTACTCACCAGCAGATAATTTGTGGCACTCACAGAGAAATAAGATGCTTACTCAATGCAGCCGAAAAAAGTTATCTGAACAAATAATGACAAGTTTTCCCATTCCAACACTAATCTTCTAGATTTTGATAAATTGAGTCAATAGGAAGATCACGTTACATTCCCATGGGAAAAAGCTTTGTGGAATTTTTCTGATACATAAAATTATTTTTCTGCAATAAATTAGCCATCTTATAACGTGTGTTAAGTTAATTAAAGTTTGTTAGAAAAGTTAGTGTAAATTACAGCTAACCAGTTATAATCACAAAGAGAATTTTGGTGAGGAAGAGTTGAAGGACTCTGGGATGGATGTACAACATACCCAGGTGCTTCACTGGCTTTCAGCAGTAATCTCTCATCTTCTCCCTGTCTGTCACTGCTGAGCTTTATGAACCAGGCTACAGAAAATTAACTCAGGTCCCAAAACAGGCAAGACTTCATAAATATTTCAGAAAATTTTATTTAGTTTGATAATGCAGTTTTTACATATTTCCATCAAGAGCATTTTGCCACAAAATTTGAGAAAATACTATCTGTTGCTCAGAGTTCATTTTGAAACAAGTGCCTGTGTACACAGACTTCTACAATTATCTTCTGTGAGTTTTGGGTTTTCCACATCTCAGTTAAAGGTTTGGTTTTTTGGCATTCAGGCTGCAGCTGCTCTGTGCTTCCAGAACATTTAGCAGCACAGTGGTCAGCAACTTCTGTGTTTATCAGAACTGATGCAGTGTCTTTGTGACCAAATGTATTTCAAAAATAAGATGGAATGTAGTGAAAAGAGATTTAATCTAAAAGTTACCCCATTTATTTGGTTTGCTTGCTGTCAGCTCTCAGAAGACTATTTCTCTTCTCCTTACAATTTCTGTACAACAGCTCAAGAGAGCAGTTGTTGAAATTTGTTCGTGGAGTGTTTTCAGGCCCAGGTTAATAGAATAAATGATACTTTTACTGGCAGCGACTAGTTTTGAAGAATTGGTAGGGTAAGAGGAAAACAAAACCACTTTCTTTTATTTTCTAATCTTAGAACTTATCTCCTTTATACTGAAAACCACTTCAAAGCTCAATAATACGATTTTTCTGATAGATTTCACATTTCTTTGTTAAGCTATTCCCTTTAATTTTCAAAATATTTAACACCACTGAAAGAATGAATATAACATTGTGCTGAGTGGTGTCATAAAGAATTACTTCTTTAACCATGCTGTTATCTTTTAATGTATCATAAGAAATAAAAGCATTTTCCATGATTTCTCTTCAGCCCTGGTGTAAGATGATGGCTGTAAAGCAGCTTATTCCTGCTCGCAGGAGTTTGGGAATCTTGTGCCATAACCTTTTGTCAGCTGTCTGCTATCTGGGACCTGACATTTTGTATCATGCACTGCTGCTGTTTAGCACTGAACCATCATAAAAACTTTCCTGTGTGCACACTGTAACCTTCTGTATGAACAGCAACAGGTTAAATCAACCTTTTTTGTAATTACTGGTTTTAGACATGCCTAATATTGTCAAGAGGGGTTTTTTTTCTGTTTTGTGGTGCTTTTCCGTTGTTGTCTTACCCATCTCAGTGTCCCTTTGCAGGGATTTTTGGTATTTGAGCAGAGCAGGAGTTTTGCTCTGTGGAAGCAGGGACAGGTGTTGCCTTAGCAGTAATACCATTCCCTTGCCTCCTTGGCATTCCCTGAATTGTAATGATGGATATGTCTGCTCTGCGAACCCCTTCTGACTTTTTTATACCTCCCACAGAAATTTCAATAGCAATTTTCACCTCAAGGGCAGGAATACAGAATCTTTTGGCTGCTGGGTAGAGAGAAGCACTGACTTTTCCCATTGACATCCTGTGCGTCATCAGGACTGGAAAATCTTCTGCTTGGATAGTATGGAAATTATGGAAACTCTATTCAGTCTCTGTTTGTATTGAGGACTTGGATTACACAGTCTTGTGTGTGAAGTTTTTTCTCTTAGATAGGGTCAGAATTATTCAGATTGGTACTTTCAGTGGGAGAGAAGAGTTCCAAGGCATTGATGGTTTTGCTGCGTCATAGCAGAGATGCTGAACCACAGGATCTCATCAGTGAGGAACCTTACGAGAACTTAGGAATTCAGGTTCTGTGAAGTTGACAGCTTTAGTCAGGGATCAGTATATATTAATTTTGTTTTAATACCTTCTCAATTAAAATTACTTAGACACTGAAGGTGGATCTGCAAGACCATAGAATTGTAGGATCATTTGTTTGAAAAAGCCTCTTCAGTCTGGGTTGGAAAAGTCATTGAGTCCAGCCATTCCCCCAGCCTGCCAAAGCTACCACTGACCCCTGTCCCCAAGTGCCACATCCACACAGCTTTTAAATCCTGCTAGGGATGGGGACTCCACTCTGGACAGCTGTGCCCGGGCTGGACAGCCCTTTTTTTGAAAGAAATTTTCCCTACTATTGAACTTGAACTTCCAGCAGCACAGCCTGAGGCCGTTCCCTCTCCTCCTGTCCCTGTTCCCTGGGAGCACAGCCCGACCCCCCCGGCTGTCCCCTCCTGTCAGGAGCTGTGCAGAGCCACAAGGTCCCCCCTGAGCCTCCTTTTCTCCAGGCTCAGCCCCTTCCCAGCTCCCTCAGCCTCTCCTGGGGCTCCAGCCCTTTTCCCACTCTGTTCCCTGCCTTGGACATGCTCCAGCCCCTCCATGTCCCTGTTGTCCTGAGGGGCCCAGAGCTGACTCCAGTATTGGTGTAATCTGTAATTACTGAGTGAATTTCTTGAGTGACAGCAGGTAGTTCACAGGAAACATGCTAATAGTTGTATTTATACTTTTGCAGAGAGTGTCACGGTTGTTACTGCTAAGCATAATATCAAGGATGAAGAAAATATTTGATAATATAGTGAGGGTGGTAGGGTACTGGTGGATAAATTACTTCCTGCAACTGTAGTGTATTGTATGTAGTAAAGTTTGGGAGGTGTGAAGCTAAAACATGAAGAAAACAGTTTGGTTTTAACTTCTCATTGGTGGGGTTTTTTCTGGCCATTTGCAAGGTGTGATGTTTTGCCATCTTATTCTTCATGATAAAAATATGCATTTCTGTACTTCAGTTAACATCACACAGGATAAAAAAAAATAAGTGCCCATTCCAAAGAAGGATTAAAGTATGGTAAGGGTGCTTAAATCTGGAGTGAACTAAGAACTGAAACACAAAAATGAATGCCGGTATTAGCAACTGTGTCTTCCTAGTAAATTGTTAAATTTGCTCTTTTTTGGAGAGCCACTCACTTGTTTCAAAGAGGGTCATCAGAAATCATCTCTAAGATACACATTAAGGTCTACAGATTTCATTAGGTGCTATTTACATTGCTGTTAATAGTATTGTTAGGTTTAATGCGTAAATTGGAAACTTTGTCCAACATGAGACCTGCATTGCTCCTGATGGGATCCTACGAGGTGGAAAGGGACTTCTTACAAGAGAATGGAGTGACTGGACAAGGGGGAATGGCTTCCACTGGCAGAGGGCAGGGACAGATTTTGGGATCTTGGGCAGGAATTGCTGGCTGGCAGGGTGGGCAGGCCCTGGCACAGGGTGCCCAGAGCAGCTGTGGCTGCCCCTGGATCCCTGGCAGTGCCCAAGGCCAGGCTGGATGGGGCCTGGAGCAGCCTGGGGCAGGGGAAGGTGTCCCTGCCATGGCAGAGGGGGTGGAGCAGGGTGGTCTCTCTCCCTTCCAAACCAAACCATCCTGTGATGGTTATCATGTCGAGGTTTCAGTTCTTGCAGCACTTACTGCTGTGTAACTTCTCCAGACAGTTTTGCTGGTGACATTTTGCAGCTAAGCTGAATGTGTAGGGCTGGAATCAGAAACTTTTTCACTTGAGGAATGTCTTTAAAGTCCTCGAACTCTCTTCAAGGTAGATTGGTTCTGTTAATTAAAGCCTGTATCATGATGATCTGTTTTACCTTTGTATGGTGGAGTTGGGGTTGCATATGGGACTTGTTCTTTCTTGTTCTACCAGTCTTACTAAACAAAATCTTCCCATACCTCTAGGGAATACTGCTTAGTTTCATGGAGAAATGGAGAAATCTTCATTTCCTTTCAACAGCAAGAAAACCTCATTAGTATTTCAAGCATGGTATGACTAAATAAAAATTCACAGTTTTAATTTTCTTAGTAGGAATGTTGTCATCTTCTAGTAACAGTTACTTCCCAGGTTTTGTGGGATCTTAGACAGTGATTGGGTTCAGTATTACAAAATACTGTTTGCATTCTGTTGTCATTGTTGTGTATGGTTTGGGAATACTGTCTTGGAGTGTTTGAGTTTCCAGCTGGTGACTTACAGGTATTTTGGGCATTGTGGTGGATCCCCCTTATGCTGTATCTTCTTGGTGGGCTTAGATCAGCCTCTGAAGCTTGACTCTGGGTAGATGTCTTCCAGAGTAATTTGCCTTTTCTAAGCTAGTTCAGGTGAAAATCAGGTTATTTGATCTGATTCATGGGAGGCTTGGACCAACCTGGTCTAAGGTTTCTCTGCCAACAAACCTTCTAAA